CTGACTTTTTTTTTCCTTTTTTGAGATGGAGTCCTGCTTTGTTGCCAGGCTGGAGTGCAGTGGCGTGATCTCAGCTCACTGCAACCTCTGCCTCCCAGGTTCAAGCAATTCTCCTGCCTCCGCCCTGGAGTACCTGGGACTACAGGCGTGTACCACAATGCCTAGCTAATTTTTGTATTTTTTTTTTTTGAGATGGAGTTTCGCTCTTGTTACCCAGGCTGGAGTGCAATGGCGCGACCTTGGCTCACCACAACCTCCGCCTCCTGGGTTCAGGCAATTCTCCTGCCTCAGCCTCCTGAGTAACTGGGATTACAGGCACACGCCACTGTGCCCAGCTAATTTTTTTTGCATTTTTAGTAGAGATGGGATTTCATCATGTTGACCAGGATGGTCTCGATCTCTCGTGATCCACCCACCTCGGCCTCCCAAAGTGCTGGGATTACAGGCTTGAGCCACCACGCCCGGCCGAATTTTTGTATTTTTAGTAGAGATGGGGTTTTGCCATTTTGGTCGGGCCGGTCTTGATCTTTTGACCTCATGATCTGCCAGCCTCAGCCTCCCAAAGTGCTGGGATTACAGACGTGAGTCACCGCACTGGGCCAAATCTGACTTGACTTTGGAGACTTTTGAGTAAAGGAAATAACAAGTGTATATTTGTGTTTTACAACAAATGAATAGGAAGGGGCTAAGTGAGGAAGCCAAGTAGGAGGCTGTGGACCTGTTCCCACTAAAGTCTAAAAACTGAAGTAGTGACAGTGAGGATAGAGACACCTGGAGAGTTGAAAGCTTTAACAGTACTGGGTAATTCTTATCTGTGCGTTTGTATGTGTCTGTATACACTTTATGGGGAAAGGAGAGTTGAGGGGAGGAACAAGACCCAGGTGACTCCCAGATTTTCAGATGGAACCCATAGGCTAGGAACAGCTCTGTTGGGTACAGTAGCCAGTAGCCATGTATGGCTGTTAAGGTATGTCTAAACTAAATAAAATAAAGAGAAAAAATTCAGTTCTTCAGTTGCATGAACCACACAAATATATTACAAACTCTTAAATTCTGCAGATTTAGTCCAGAGTACTATGAAGTTATAAATTCAAGAGTGTCCGCAGAGATTCAAGCAGAAAAGAATATCTGGCTATATGTTTTAAACAGGAGTATGGGACTAGTGGCCTCAGTATCAGAGAGTGCAGATATAGAATATTTCTGGTACAGAAAGTTCAGTTGGACAGCACTGTTCTGCAGTTTTTGGTTTCTACTTTCTTTTCTCCCAAGAGGAAAGCCAGAATAACAGGTGTTTTTCTCTATTCTCCTAAGAACTGTGGCTTCACAATATTCTGTTGTGGGATATTGCTAGCCAGGGATTCTGCTAGATACCATCTTACTACTGTCAACCACCATCACCCAATCATCAGATATAGGATGTTTCTGTAATCAGAGAAGGTTCTTTTGGTCAGCACTGAGCTAAAGAGATGCTGATGTCATTCACTGAGCTATTGATGGTTGGGTGATGGGGGACAACAACCTCTAGAAAGCACTGTTTATTAGAAATATGAGCCACATACATAATTAAAAAAATTTTAGTAGCCATATTAAAGAGTAAAAAGAAATAATTGGATTTTATAACTTATTTAACCCATTATATTCAAAATATGATTTACAACACATTAAAACATATTTAAAAAATTGATGAGCTGTTTACATTAAAATTTTTTTCTTCTTTTTTTGAGACAGGGTCTGGCTATATTGCCCAGACTGGTCTCAAACTCCTGGACTCAAGTGATCTGCCCGCGTCAGCCCCCCTAAGTGCTGGGATTATAGGTGTGAGCCACCATGCCCAGCCACATTATTTTTTAGTTCTAGATCTTTGAAATCAATTATATACTTTTATAGTATATCTTAATTGAACTGCTAAGTTTTTTTTGTTCGTTATTTTCAAAAGCCTAGTTTTATTAGAAGTGTTTCATATGCATTTATATCTGTAAATCATAAAATTTACAGTTGAAAAAGTAGATTTATATGCCCAGGTTATTCTTTTTTTTAAATTAATTAATTTTTATTTATTTATTTAAAGACAGGGTTTCACCATGTTGGCCAGGCTGGTCCTAAACTCCCGACCTCAGGTGATCCACCCACTTTGGCCTCTGAAAGTGCTGGGATTACAGGGATAAGCCACCTTGCCTGGCCTCACTGAAACCTTTTTAAACTTATGAAATGTTTCAGATGTGCAAAAAGATATTGAGAAGTATGTAATTAATATCCGTGTACCTACCACGTAGCTTAAGAAATAAACAGTTGCAGAATAAAAACTCCTGTGCAGCTCTTCCTAGTTATAAATATCTGTATTTACCAACAGCGATGTGGATATTTAATCTTTATTTATTTATTTATTTTGAGATGGATTCTAGCTGTGTTGCCAGGCTGGAGTGCAGTGGCACAATCTTGGCCCACTGCAACCTCCGCCTCCTGGGTTCAAGCAATTCTGCTGCTTCAGCCTCCTGAGTAGCTGGGACTACAGGTGTGTGCCACCATGCCCAGCTAATTTTTGTTTATTTTTAGTAGGAGGGTTTTCCATGTTGGGCAGGATGGTCTTGATCTCTTGACCTCATGATCTACCCACCTTGGCCTCCCGAAGTGCTGGGATTACAGATATGAGCCATCGCACTCAGCCGATATTTACTTTTAACCATTAATACAAGTCTGCATCCAAGATCTTTTGAGCCAGAATTCAGAATTTTTTTCAGATTTTTAGACATGTGATTTGCATGTATAACCTAACTTTTCAAGCAATTTTTGGGGAATGCTCCCTAATTTCTTCATCAAACACTTTGGGATTACTGACTCAGTTCGGGTCTGGTTTTACTACCATATTAGTTACAAATTTTTGGATTTTCGGATATTTTTGCTATTAAGTTTTGTGAATAAAGGTTTGTGAACGGGTACATATGTTTTACTTGTTCAACTTAATCACTGGTAGAATTTGTTGAACTTTGTGTTGAGCTGATCACAATGTAGTATGAGATGTATAAAAATGCAGGTTAGGGCCGGGCGCGGTGGCTCACGCCTGTAATCCCAGCACTTTGGGAGGCCAAGGTGGGTGGATCACAAGGTCAAGAGATTGAGACCATCCAGGTCAACATGGTGAAACCCCGTCTCCACTAAAAATATAAAAAATTAGCTGGGCATGGTGGCGTGTGCCTGTAATCCCAGCTACTCAGGAGGCTGAGGCAGGAGAATTGCCTGAGCCCAGGAGGCAGAGGTTGCGGTGAGCCGAGATCGCGCCATTGCACTCCAGCCTGGGTAACAAGAGCGAAACTCTGTCTCAAAAAAAAAAAAAAAAAAAAAAAAAAAAAAATGCAGGTTAACACTTTGATGTCCAAAGAATTTAATTTTTTAGGTTTTTATGAAGTCAGTATCAGTGAGGACTAGAGTTGCTGGGGAAGGCTACACAACCCAGAACTTGACCTGTTTCAACTAAGTGGGAAAGATTGCTGATTTAAGTAGAAAACCTGTGATTAACCTATGATTAACAACCTGTGTTTATTTCTAATTATCTAACTTGACAAAATGTTTGTCATGATGAGAACTTTGAGAGAACTTATAATTAACTTGATTAACTGATAAGAATTATTAAAAACTGCAGTTGACTTGATTGTAAACGGAGTTACTCACCCTTGCTTTAAAATAAGGTGAAATGGTAACTGACAGGTATTAGGTTTGCTCCTTTACAGTTGATATGTCATGCTCCCAGTCTTGATGTCCTTTCTGATAGGTATGCCAGCAGTGCTGCTTTAGCCACACTCTTCTATAGCTTTGGTCTCTAGTCAGTATTGGAGAATCAGATTAAGGTTATACAACTAGATGCATAGTGTTATTAGCAAACTTAATACATTTTAGTTACATGCTGCAGTAGAAGCAGAGAAATCTGTGCCTTCATTAACTTGCAGATTTTCTTTCTTCTTTATTTTTTTAGAGACTGTCTTCCTCTGTCATCCAGTCTAGAGTATAGTGATGTGATCATAGGTCACTGCAGCCTTGAACTCCTGGGCTCAAACTGTCTTGCTGGTATAGCCTCCCAAGTAGCTAGGGCCACAGATGTGCACCACCACACCTGGCTAATTTTAAAAAAACTTTTGTAGAGATGAGGTCTGGCTGCGTTGCCCACGCTGAGCCGAAGTGATCCTTCCACCTTGGCCTCCTAGAGTGTTGGAATTATAGGCATGAGCCATATGCCTGGTGATTTTTTTTTTCAAACCTCCTGCTACTTACAGAGATATTAGCAATTAGTGTTTGTGCCTAGCCCATTAATTACTGTGTAAATTAGTGCTGAATGGTTATGGAGGTCTTTATTTAAACCCATAGTTTATAATGAGGCTTAAAGAAAGTTTATTATTGTTTTTGAGACAGGGTTTTACTCTGTTGCTTATGGTGGGGTGCAGTGGTGTGTTCTTGGCTCACTGTAGCCTTTGCCTTTCAAGTTCAAGCAATTCTTGTGCCTCAGCCTACTGAGTAGCTGAGACCATAGGCATGTACCATTATGCCTGGCTAATTTTGGTATTTTTGGTAGAGACGGGGTTACACCATGTTGCCCAAGTTGTTCTCGAACTCCTGACTCAGGAAATCCACCCATCTGTCTTTAAGAGTGTTGGGATTACAGGGCTGAGCTACCGCACCAGGCCAAAAAAAAGTAAAAGTAATACACGCTCACTATAAAAAGAAAATGGAACAGAGAAGAAAAGTATATAAGTAGGGAAAAAGGTGATTCCATCTGATTTTTCAGAAATATGGTGTTACCATACAAATCATTTCTGTATATATACAAACATACATATATACATCCTTTGTATACAAATGAGATTGTCTTGTAGGCATTCTTCTGTAACTTGCTTTCTTTTCTACTTCACAATATGTTTTTGCATGTCAGATGCAGATATTTACTTATTTTTGTTTGTTTGTTTTTGTTTCTTTTCCTTTTTTTTGAAATGAAGTCTTGCTCTGTCACCCAGGCTAGAGTGCAGTGGTGGGATCTCGGCTCACTGCAACTTCCATCTCCCAGGTTCAAGCGATCCTCCTGCCTCAGCCTCCCAAGTAACTGGGATCACAGGTACGTGTCACCATGTCCGGTTAATTTTTATATTTTTAGTAGAGATGGGGTTTCACCATGTTGGCCAGGCTGGTGTCCAACTCCCGACCTTAGGTGATCTGCCTGCCTCAGCCTCCCAAATTGTTGGGATTACAAACATGAGCCACCATGCCTGGCCTCTTTTTCTTTTCTTTCTTTTTTTTTTTTTTTTTTTTTTTTTTTGAGATAGTCTTTGCTCTGTTGCCTGGGCTGGAGTGCAGTGGCAGGATCTTGGCTCACTGCAACCTCTGCCTCCTGAGTTCAAGTGATCCTCCCGGAGCCTCCTGAGTAGCTGGTACTTACAGTCAGGTCCCACCTTGCCCAGGTAAGTTTTGCATTTTTTGGTAGAGATGGGAATTCACCATGTTGGCCAGGGTGGTCTTGAACTCCTGACTTCAAGTGATCTGCCCACCTCAGTCTTTTAAAGTGCTGGAATTATAGGCATGAGCCTCCATGCCTAGTCATTGTTTTTCTTTTTTTTTTTAAATTAGGATTGTCTGAAAATTTTTTTTTTTATAGCAGCATTGTCTTTTTTTTTTTTTTTTGTGGGGGAGGAAGGCAGGAAGGGAGGGAAGAAGGACGGTAGGGAGGAAGGAAGGGATGAAAGAAGGAAGGAAGGGGGGAAGCGGGGAGGAGGGGGAGGGAAGGGAAGGAAGGAAATCAAGCAATGAGAGAGACATTGCCGACCTGGATCTAGAGGTTTACAAGTTGATTTCTTTTTTTTTGAGAGAAGGAAAGAAAAAAAAAATAAGTAAAGGAGAGGAAGAAAGAGGAAGAGAAAGAGGGAGAGTAAATGGAAATATTGCTTTATTTTGAAAAAGATTGTGTATTAATGATGGCCAATCAATGTTTCATTTAAGCTTATGGGTAGGTGTGATGTGGTATTGTCAAGAATGTATATTTTGTGTATTTGAAGTGGAGAGCTCTATAAATATTTATTAAGTTTACTTGTTCCGGATCTGAGTTCGAGTCCTTGATATCCTTATTAATTTTCTGTCTCATTGAATCTAAGTTTCGTATCTGGGTGTTAGGATCGTTAGCTCTTGTTGTTGCATTGATCCTTTTACCACTATATCTTTATTGCTTTAAAATCTATTTTATCCGATACGAGAATTGCAACTCCTGCTTTTTATTTATTTATTATTTATTTTTACTCTCCATTTGGTTGGTAAATCTTTCTCCATCCCTTTGAGTCTTTGTGTATCCTTGCATGTGAAACAGGTCTGGATGTAACATGCCGTTGGGTTTTGGCTGTGTCTTTTGATTGGGGGATTTAGTCAATTTAAATTTAGGGTTACTGCCATTTGATGTTGACTGGCTGTTTTATCCATTCGTTGGTGTAAATTCTTCTTTATGTTGGTGCTCTTTACTTTTCGGTGTATTTTTAGAAAGGCTAATACTGGTTGTTTCTTTCTGTGTGTAATGCTGCTTTCAGAAGCTCTTGTAAAGCAGGCCTGGTGGTAATAAAATCTCTGAGTTCTTGCTTGTTCATAAAAGATTTTATTTTTCCTTCAGTTGTGAAGCTTAGTTTGGCTGGATATGAAATTCTGGGCTGAAGGTTCTATTCTTTGAGGATGTTGAATATTGGCCCCCACTCTCTTCTGGCTTGTAGAGTTTCTGCTGAGAGATCTGCTGTAAGTCTGATAGGCTTGCCTTTGTGAGTAACCTGACCTTTCTCTCTGGCTGCCCTTAGTATTTTCTCCTTCGTTTCAACCCTGGTGAATCTAACGATGATGTGCCTTGGGGTTGCTCTTCTTGAGGAATATCTTTGTGGTATTCTCTGTATTACCTGGGGTTGAATGTTGACCTGCTTTGCTAGTTTAGGAAAATTTTCCTGAATAATATCCTGAAGGGTATTTTCCAGCTTGGATTCATTCTCTCCGTCGCATTCAGGTACACCTATCAAACGTAAATTTGGTCTTTTCACATAGTCCCACATTTCTTGGAGACTTTGCTCATTCCTTTTTATCCTTTTTTCTCTAAACTTTTCTTCACATTTTATTTCATTAAGTTGGACTTTGACCTCTGATATCCCTTCTTCTGCTTGAACAATTCGAGTGTTTAAACCTGTGCATACTTCTTGGAGTTCCTGTATTGTATTCTTCAGTTCCATTAATTCACTCATACTCCTCTCTAAGTTGTCTATTCTCAATAGGATTTCATCAAGCCTTTTGTCAAAGTTCCTAGTTTCTTTATGTTGGGCTACAACATGGTCTTTTAACTCACCGAAGTTTGTTATTATCCATTCCTTGAAGTGTGATTCTGTCATCAGGAGGCGCTCGTTCTCCATCAAGCCTTGTTCCATTGTTGATGTGGAACTGTGATCATCTTTAGAGGGAGAGGTGTTCTGACTTTGAGTATTCTCAGCTTTTTTACGCTGGTTTCTTCCCGTCATTGTAAATTTATCCTCCTGTCGTCTTTGAAATTACCAACTTTCAGATTAGCTCTCTTGAGTGGATGTCCAGGTTGTTAGTTCCCAGGGCCAGAGCAGCGGCGTTAAAACTGATGGTGCTTTTCTGCCCAGGATTCTCCTGTCTGGCTTCCTTCTTGTGTCCGTAGTAGGCGACTCTGCCTTCCCGGGGCTCCAAACCTCGGTCAGAAGGAGAACCGGTCCCGTTTACTCTGCGCCGAGCGCTGCCGCGCCGAGCCATCGCAGCTGCTGCGCCAGGCTCTGGTGTCCTGCTGGGGACCCGTGCGGGTCCTCCGAACCTGTTTGTTTACTCTGCTCAGAGAGCTGCTGCGCCGAGGTGCCGCGGAACCGCTGCGCTGGCCACGAGAGTCGCGCTGGCCACCCCTGTGTTTCCTCCACTGGGGGGTCTTCTGCTCCGTGAGCGGCCAGAATTTGTCTGAAAGTGTGGCATCCTCTAGTTCTCCGTGCCTTCCCTGAGAGCTGCAATCCCGGGATGTTAGCGATCGGCCATCTTGGATCGTTCTCAGCATTGTCTTTTATAGTTTAGAGATACATAAATTTATTCAGCTAATCTGTTGTTGGAAATGTAAGCTGTCTCCTTGCTGGTACAAACAATGCAGAAATTGAATATTATTGCACATTATATACTTGAACCTGTGAAAATATATTTTATGGAGAATATTTTTAAAAGTGAAACTTCGAGTTCATCAGTGTGCACTTTTTAAATCTTGATAGATTATGCCAAATTCTACTTCAATGGGATTAAAAATTTTGGTCTCTTGTTAATCTTTTCATACAGTGTCTAGGATAGCAGGATATTTCTCGCCCCTGGCAGTATTTGTAATGCTTTGAGAAAATGGACAGGATCTTTAAAAATGTTGAAATACAGTATTAAAAGTATTTGACTCGTTGAAGAGCATAACCCCATTACATCAGGTTGGACTAGTAATTTTGAGATTTATTTCAGAATTTCACCTATAATTCTTTAAATAGCTAATGGGCGGTATGTTAAATTTTCTGGTTCAACTTATAAATATCATAGCACATCTATGTCAGCCTAGTCAATTGTAGTTAATTTGAAGTAAGCTACTATGTTGCTATTAAAGATTTTTGCTTTCATTTGTCTTAAGAATACTTGGTGTTCCTTTGGAGACTCAGGTTGTAAAGAGCTATTATTGTTTTTCTAATCTATGAGGAGAGAGTGAGATTGCTGTCTACAGTTGCATGTTATGCATGTAGCTATTTGTGGGAAGAGTGAGAATTAAAGGCTAACATACAATCATTGTGGGTAAAAGTATTTTTATTTTTAGACCTCTGAGTATAATGGGTTTTTGCGGGGTGGGGCCAGACTGGGGCTGTTTTTCTCTTATAGTATGTATATAACCATAGGGATCAATGCTTTTCTTTTTTTTGTCTTTTTTTTTTGATACACAGTTTCATTCTGTCACCTAGGCAGGATTGCAGTGTTGGGATCTCAGCTCACTGCAACCTCTGCCTCCTGGGTTCAGGTGATTGTCCTGCCTCAGCCTCCAGAGTAGCTGGGTTTACAGCCATGTACCACCACACCTGCTAAGTTTTCTATTATTAGTAGAGACGGGGTTTCACCATGTTGGCCAGGGTAGTGTCAAACTCCTGACCTCAAGCGATCTGCCTTCCTTGGTTTCTCAGAGTGCTGGGATTACAGGTGTGAGCCACTGTGCCTGGCCTCAATGCTTCTCTTGTAGGGAAAAATGATTCTGGAATATTCCCTTTTTTTTTTTGAGACAGAGTCTTGCTGTGTCACCCATGCTGAAGTGCAGTGGTGTGATCCTGGCTCACTGCAACCTCTGCCTCCCGGGTTCCAGAAATTCTTCTGTGTCAGCCTCCCAAATAGCTGGGACTACAGGCGTGTGACACCACACCAGCTAATTTTTGTATTTTTAGTAGAGATGGGATTTTGCCATGTTGGTGAGGCCAGTCTTGAACTCCTGACCTCAGATGATTCACCTGCCTTAGCCTCCCAAAGTGCTGAGATTACAGACATGAACTACTGCACCTGGCCTGAATATTCTTGTGTTTTTTTCTGACAGGCTTTGTCATGTGAATAGTAGTGAATTGATGTTGAAACTGTATTGTTAATAAACACATAATTTAAGATAAGCCAGATTTCTATTAATAATAACCTTAGAATTAGATTTTAGGAAATTTCTCCAAATGTAAATCCTGGCAAGGCTGCAGAGATTTAAATGCTGTTCTGGTATTTTTTTTTTTTTTTTTTTTGAGATAGAGTCTTGCTCTGTCACCTAGCTGGAGTTCAATGGCACGATAACAGTTCACTGCAACCACTGCCTCCTGGGTTCAAGCAATTCTCATGCCTCAACTTCCCAAGTAGCTGGGACTATAGGCATGCACCACCATGCCCTGCTAATTTTTATATTTTTTGTGGAGATGGCGTTTCACCATATTGACCAGGCTGGTCTCGAAGTCCTGGCCTCAAGTGATCCACCCACCTCAGCCTCCCAAAGTGAGCCACCACGCCTGGGCATCTGGTATTTTTTAAAAACTCAAAGTATAGGGTACAGAATTCATCTTA